AAAGGTATATATTTGCATGCCAAATGAGTTAATACAGATTATTATTTGTTCACCTGTATAACAGATTTAGCAAGACAGAAGTGCAGGTGAGAAAATGGTAATGATCAGATGGGGAAAAGAATCAGTAAACACTGTTTAAAAAAAAAGTTGAGAGGGGAATAATGAAAGGAAATGTGGTTTCCCCTCCCTCCTTTAGATTACTGTCAATATGTGGTTGTGTATAATCCTTATTATCTCATGATTTTCACCAAAAGTGTAAGTGACTAGGGCTGCCTGACCAATCTGAGGTAGAAGTTATTTTTTTTAAACTAAGGTCCTGTAGTCTTTCTTACTCAAGATTCATAAATAGTCCCATGATATTAGAAGATGAGAACCTAAGTAGAAAATTCTATAACAGGTTCTTAGTATTGTTTTTAGTTATTTATTGGCTTTTAATATGGCTAAACTTTTTGGACATTACAATTGATCATGACATACAAGCTAAGCTGGCTGGTTTATGAACCATATTTAAAATTTATACAGAAGATTATATAAATTTTACAGGTAATTTCACAGTTGTGGATAGTTTAAATTTGATAATGTATGCATAAGTGCCAATTCCTATATAATTTCTTTAAGCATTTCCAAAATTATTCCAAACTTCAGAGAATGTAAAGACACAGTGTTAGAATCTGTGAGCCTTTGTAGATGGAAAGACTGCTTTAACCTCACTTAGAATGCAGCATGTAGGTATTTTCTTTTTTAAGGAATTGCTTTAATAGCAGTTACGGGTTAAGAAGAGAGTGGAAGTATTTCTTTTATAAGCTTGAGAGTCCAAGAGAAGCAGCCTGTCATACTCAAGAACTGCTATTTATGTAGACTGAAATTAAAGAATTGGATAAACAAAAATTTCCCATAAGCCGCAAAGAATGAAGTTCTTAGTACAATAAATATTATAAGTTTTTGGAGTAATTTAAGTACCCCTCCCCCCTTGGGACATGAAATTTACCTAAATGCACTGATGTATTTTTATGGAAATAGATCTCCAACTTTCATAAAGTAGTGGGAAAATATATTTGAGAAAGTTTGTTTTAAAAGTTTATGCTGTTACAGACTTGAATTTGTATAAACTTGGCACTATGATTTGGCATAGAATTTGCATTGCCATAATATTAGAATGGGTTACAGTTTAGCATTTTTATGTTATGTGTTTATTTTAATGGGCTTTAAGTACTAAGCTTATATTTGTTGTTGGAATTTTTTTCTTCCACCTATTATATGATACTAGCTGTATTAAAAGATAAAAGACTGCAATTGCTTACTGTAGGAATTGTTCATGTTCTGCAGCAATGTGCGCATTATGTTTAATAACCCCTCGCCTTGATTGAAGGTGGTTGTTGTGGTTGTTTACAGTGTGTAAAATGCAGCTGTATTTTAACACAGATAGCTTGAATTGGATATACTGTGGTACTTTCATAGTATTCATAGTTAGCTCTCTTTTTTATTTTTGGCTGTGTCCTTCAGCTTCCACCCGAGGTACCTTGATAATAAAGAATAGTTAAAAGAACAAAAAAACACCGTTTAAGCAGGTTGTACCGTGAAAACTTTCTGCCTGGCTTCTGGTTTATAATAGGTAAGGTAGACTGGAAGCCTGTATGATTGCTATTAAAAATGTGGATATAATTTGGTTGAGTCAATCTGCACATTTCAACTAGACAGCATATTTTTAAATGGTTGTTGGATCCACATGCAGGTTACTGAGGAATTTGCAGAATTTCTTGATGGGACAGCTTTAAGAGTAGGTTAAGTATAGGGTAGTGAAACAGGACAGGTAACGCCCCTTCTCAGTATTTTATTTTTCTGTTTGCAATTTCAATTCAGTTTCCAAATTCTGAATAGTTTTATGTGTTTCTTTGAAAAAAAAGTTGAAGTTATCATTTTGTAATGAAGACAAGTCAAAGGTAGAAAAGGATAATCTAGCATTTGTCCATAAAGGGCTTATTGTACCTTGATATCTAATGCACAGTTTAGTGAAAATGGTACTTGGTACTAGGTTTTGAAAAATGAAGTTACTTAAATATGGCAAATATTCACATGACCATTTTTGTGTGCATGAAGACTTAACTACCAGTTCTTAGAATGGTGGGCCTTTTTTTTTTTTTTCGGTATTACGATAAAAATAATTCTGAAGAATTAAAAGTTTATTTTATGCTTTGTAGTTTATTCTTCAGGTTAAGTTTACTGACAGTTATTGATTAACCTTTTTAGATGTCTCCAAATTGTTTTTGGAGGTTAAAATGGTAATAACAACTTTGTAACTAGGTGTTACAAGGGAGTTAAGAGGACTATTTCTTTACCTTGAATGATTCCATGAAGAAATTTATGCAGATTCAGGTTTCTTTGGTATAAAAACTGAAGGATGGCAACAAAGGAGGTGTTAGGTATTTATGACACCTTAGATAATTAGAAAGCAAGACTTTTAAAAAAATAAATCCTAATATCTTTTGAAAAGATACTCTTGCATCTTAATGTTTTGTTACCAAACCAAAAGGAAATTTGCATTTTTTCCAATGAGTTGCTATGCCAGAACTGAAATTTAAACTTTAAAATTTAGGATGTTACTAAGTTGCCTTGTTTACATTAATTCCTAAGAAGTGGCAATTTTTAGCACTGTTGAATAATTTTCAGCTGTTTATAAGGGAAGACTTGGACATCGAGTGTATACATATTTGGACCATAATATTTTTATCATGTACTAGAAAGTAAGCATTTAAGAATAAATCTTGGATTTTAACATAAGACTGAGATTTCTATACTTATAAAATTAAAGGTTTAACAGTTGTCACAGAATGCAAAGCATTCTGAAATGTATGTATAACATGAGCTATGGTGATATTCATAGATACTGTTCCATCAACTGCTGTTAAACAGTAGCATAAACAAATGTTATACCACGGGATCAGTTTTATAGAAGGGAAAGCCAAGAGAGAGGGGAAGATACTCTTTTCAGCTTAATGAACCAGTCTGTGTGATTCTTCAGTTACAAGCAAATTAGCTATTACTTTTTTACTGAATATGCTGCTTTTACAGTTTCAATGAATGAAAAAGCCTAAATTGCTGTGCCTGCTCTAGGCATTTGTCCAGGAATTTAGAGGGTATCAGAGATGTGGTGAAAGACTTATTGTAGGTAGCTAAATGGGAAAGGTTGATATTGAACAGAAAGGTAGCTATATATTTCAGTTTTGTTTGCATCTGAAAAATGAATAGGCCTAGGCCTAGCAGCATTAGTACAGTTCTTGATAAATAAGTCTGTTGGCATTAAACTGAAAGTAAAGGGAAAGTCTTAAGAAAGCTGTGTGGTAGGTAGTCTTGTGGCATAAATGAAAATCGGTGTGAAGTTGGGGTGATTAGTTACTCTAATAATCAAGGCTCAAATGGACAGAGAAACCGAACTGTCCGTCCTACTTTGGTCATAAGTGCCTCATATGTCTGTCAAATTTAAAAAAGTCTCTTAATCAGTTTTAAATCATTTGATTTGGAGAGTTCTGATTTATATCCAACTTTTTCAGAAGCCAGTTTTCTGATACAGGATATAGTCATTGAAGGAAGTATATGTATGCAGAACTGCATAAAATATGCAAAACTATGAATAAAATTGGTGGGATCAAAAAATAAAGACCATGATACTAATTTTGTAACTTTTTGTACATCATACTTCATGGATAATATAGAATATTAAAATGGCATGGTTGCAAAATTACAACTATTAGTAATTTACAAGCCAAAGGGGAAATTTTAAGAATTTCATGCCCTCTTTTCCCCTTAGTTTTTTCTTTATGTTGCTTTTACATTAGAACATATGTTTCTGATTAAGTTGGAATGTGCAAAGATAGTGGTCAAACATACTTGGGAGAAGATGTTAGTAATTTCACTAATTTAATTTTTTTACTTCTTTGAACTTCAGCATGTGTCCTGTAATATGTGAGTTTAGGTAGGTGTATACAAATTTCAGCCTAGAATGCTTTGTTTTAACTGTACCTTGGTATCTTAGCATGGCTTAATGAAAGCTTATTTTAAGATGACTAAGAATCTTCAAGTTATAAGCTAGGTTGGGGGGGTTACAGTTAGATTTATGTTGGGTGTTAAGTATTTATATTAAAATTGTTCACGTTTTAGGAACTAGGATGAAACATGAAAGGGGAGGAGGGTGAAGAATATGGTAAAAACATTTAGAGAAATTCAGTAAATTCTCTTTGTTAGAAGCTAGACTTTGAACAATTTTAAAGATTATAAAATTGTTTTTTAATAAACTAGTTATTTGCACTTTACCTGCTGGCTTTTCCATTTGGTAGATAACATTCTGAACTCCAGCAGAGTTTTATAAACCCCACGTGCTTAAATATACTAAATGTTCTTTTTCCATTAAGGTTAATGTTCGTGAAGAAATTGAAGAGTTTTTTCCAAGAATGTGGAAGATAAATCAAGATAAAAGAAGGCTAATGAAAAGTATTAAAGATCAGAAAATTAAAATTGAATGGGGGAAAAAATTGAACAGAAGATTGGTCAGATAGAAGCACTTGAATATTTTTTTTAAGGCTATTTTGAATTGTTTGAATTGGGGAAGAATACACGAAGTATGAAAAATGAAAAACTCAATGAAGAATGAAGAGAAGTAGAAAGCAAGAGTGAAGTAGAATTAAAAGAATCTGGAAGAATGAATGGGTCCTAGGTTAAGTAAATGTATGGTTTATGTTCCAGTGTCTGTATGATCAAGTTGTAGATGAATTTGCATGATTTCTTAGTTAATAGAGAATTGGTGATCTGGTTCAAGTAGGGAATTATTGAGGACAGTTAGCAGTATTAACAATGGGTTATTAATGAGCTGAAATTTTTTTCTGGAGGGTGTTGCCTAACCATTTGTTTTTCAGGAGCAATCAATATAAATAATTACGGTACTTTAAATGTTAGGTGTTAGGCATCTATGTGACCAGTGCCATTTGTAATACTGTCTTCTTTGTTAGGAGTCTCGCTCTCAGTCAAAATCTCCAACGGGAACTCCTGCTCGTGTAAAATCGGAGAGCAGGTCAGGATCTCGTAGTCCATCAAGGGTTTCCAAACATTCAGAATCCCATTCTCGATCAAGATCAAAATCCAGGTAAGTATGCTTAAAATAATACTTAAGATGCGATTTTTCAGAGCAAGGTGGTTTTTACCAAGTCCTTCATTTTTGCTGCATTTTGTATAGAAATTTCACAAAATCATGAAGTTTTTCTCAAACGGGGGAGTTAGAAATGAATGTTCTGGGGGTACCTGGATGGCTCAGTCAATTAAGCATCCAACTCTCGGTTTCAGCTCAGGTCATGATCTCATAGGCTTAAGATTGAGCCCTGCATCAGGCTCTGCCCGCAGGAGGGAGTCTGCTTCTCATCCTCTCCCACTCATGCTTGCCTGCGTGCGCTCTCTTTCTCCCCCTTCTAAAATAAATAAATGAATCTTAAAAAAAAAAAAAAAAAAGTTCTAGATAAAGATTTGATTTTCTAGATAAAGATTTAGATAAGGCAAGGTCGAGTCATCTCTTAGCCCAGTTAACCTATCTAAGCTAGCCATTAATATAAATTAAATGTGTTGATTGATTTAAATGTACTTGGCAATGGGGATTGGAGTTTGGTTTTATTTACTTGTGCAACAAAAATGTCATTTTCTCCATTGGAGACTTGGCATGTAATTTAGTGCAGAGAAGGTTGATGTATCTATGTTGTACTAATTATCGGAATGATTTGAGAAGCTTTTTCAAGATTGACATTCCAGCTACATCCTTTACCTGAAGATTGTGACTCAGTAGGTTCAGGGTGGAACTCTGGCCAGATATAGTTGGGGCAGGGAGTGGGGGAGTCTCTGGATGATTGAGAAGCCCCTGCCAGTATCATCTCTACTGACAACAAAAACACTAGTGAACCACTACAAAGTTCACTGTACCAGATGTCCCAGGTGTGCAGGGGTGGGTGAAAGAAAGTTTAAAAACAACTTGGACAGGTAATTCAATAAGTCATAATTTCTTGACTAGAGACATAATTTGTCTTTGTATAGAGTTTACTTGCCAGTGGAGCATGATACCGAAGAATTGGTTAAAGGACTGTACTTTTCTTGAGTCCACAGCTGTGTCTTTATCGTACCCAGGATCCAACTTGATTTACTAACCACTCTAATTAAATCTACATGTGCAGAGTAGCACTGTGTAGAATTTGGGTGTACAGACAGAAATGAGCATATTTTCATTTTAGGATCTTTGCATTTGCTGCTCTCAGCCTAGAATTCTCTTCTCTCAGATACTCAGTTAGTTGATTTATTCTCTCCCTGAGCATCACCTGAGAATATTTTATTCCCTTACTCTTAATTTTTTTTTTTTAAGATTTTATTTATTTATTTGACAGAGATACAGCGAGAGAGGGAACACAAGCAGGGGGAGTGGGAGAGGGAGAAGCAGGCTTCCCGCCGAGCAGGGAACGTGATGTGGGGCTTGATCCCAGGACCCTGGGACCATGACCTGAGCTGAAGGCAGATGCTTAACGACTGAGCCACCCAGGCGCCCCTCCCTTTACTCTTAATTTTTTTTCATAAGACTTGCCAATATCTGATTTAGAGGAAAGTTAGGCACTCCTGAAGGGTTTTTAATTAATGTCTCATTTTTCATTACTATTTAAAAATAACAGTTGATCGGGCGCCTGGGTGGCTCAGTCGGTTAAGTGTCTTCCTTCAGCTCAGATCATGATCCAACGGCCTGGGATCGAGCCCCGCATCGGGCTCCCTGCTCTGCAGGAAGCCTGCTTCTCCCTCTCCCACTCTCCTGCTTGTGTTCCCTCTCTTGCTGTGTCTCTGTCAAATAAATAAATAAAATCTTAAAAAAAAAAAAGCAATCTTTAAAAAAAATAACGATATGTTAAATGACAGGTTTTCTTATTAATGTTTATCTTTTACATTGAGGCTATAAATTAGTGCTAAGGAAAATGGAAAGTATCTAAAAGTATCCTAAATCTGCTAGGAACCACATCTCCATGTCTTGCCAAGGAACCTTTGTTCTTGCTAGTCCTAAAACACTTTTCCCCTGTCTACCTAGTAAAATTTATGTCTCCTAGGTTTATTGTTAACCTTCTTTGTTTTGAATAATCTTCCCTCATTAGTTTGATTCCCTTCACCCATGCGCTGTCTTTTTAAACTTTCTGGCCCTTAGCATGTATAATATTCTGGCCCTTAGCATGTATAATATTTATTGAACATTCAAGTTATTTTGTAAGACTGTGATCATTACTAGGGTGCCTGGGTGGCTCGATTGGTTAAGCATCCAGCTCTTTTTTTTTTTTTAATATTTTATTTATTCATTTGAGACACACAGATACAGCATGAGCAGGGGGAGAGGCAGAGGGAGAAGCAGGCTCCCTGCTGAGCCAGGAGCCGGACGTGGGGCTCGATCCCAGGATCCTGGGATCATGACCTGAGCCGAAGGCAGAAGCTTAACCATCTGAGCCACCCAGGCGCCCCAGCATCCAACTCTTGATCTCAGGGTCGTGAGTTCCACCCCCATATTAAAAAAAAAAAAAGACTGATCACTTCTGATCTGGGTGTTTATTAAGGATGGGTCACATGAATAGTAAATAAATTGTTGCATTAAGGGGCGCTTGGGTGGCTCAGTCGTTAAGCGTCTGCCTTCAGCTCATGTCATGATCTCAGGGTCCTGGGATAGAGCCCCACGTTGGGCTCTCCACTCAGAGAGCCCACTTCTCCTTCTGCCTCTCCCCCCTCCTTCTGCTCTTCTCTCTCTCTCAAATAAATAAAATCTTTTTTAAAAAAAGGAAAGAAATTGTTGCATTCAGTGGCAAAGAGAATCAGAGTGACTGGAAATAAGAGATAGATGACCTAGGGAATCAGCAGTGGAGGATGGGTGAGGTACTGTGGGAAGCTTGAATAAATGAAGACTATTACTTGGGCATTTAGGTTGAATTAATTTAGCAGATGCTAGATTGCAGTGGGCTAAAGAAAGATTAGAAAGGAAATGGTATTTAATAGTGAAGGGAATATAGAACTATATTGAGAAGATGGTAAGAATCAAAGGATTTTACTGTGGTGGTAATGGTAGTTGGTGGTTTGTGTTGTCTTTGTTGTGGTAAGATACACATAAAATTTACAGTCTTAATCATTTTTAAGTGTACGGTTCACTGGTAGTAAATACATTCACATTGTGCAGCCATCATCACCATCTCTGTCCCCAGAGCTGTTTTCATCTTGTAAAACTGAAACTCTATACTCATTAAAACAGTGGCTCCTTGTTTTCCCCTCCTCCCAGCCTCTGGCAACCATTTTACTCTCTGTATGATTTTGACTACCCTAAGAGCCTTGTATAAGTGTAATCACAGTATTTGTCTTTTTGGAGACTGACTTGTTTCACTTAACAAAATGTCTTCAAGTTTCATCCGTGTTGCAGAATATTACAGGATTTCTTTAGTGGTAGTTTGTTTTTTCTTTTTAAAGAAGGTAGAATTGTAACATGCTTGTAATGTAAAGTGAAAAGAGAATAGAAGGAATAGACTAAGAACATGATTGTAGTGATTAAGAGAACAAGAGGAAGAATATTCTTTCCTCAGAAGGGAACTGGGATACATGTATATAGATCCTTGGCATTAGCCATCTTGTTTCAGTATTTTTACCTAAATGTATTTCTCTCAAAGGTCGAGGTCGAGGAGGCATTCTCATAGACGTTACACTCGATCCAGATCCCATTCTCACTCTCATAGGAGACGATCTCGAAGTAGGTCATATACACCAGAATACCGGCGTCGAAGAAGCCGAAGTCATTCTCCAATGTCTAACCGGAGAAGACATACAGGCAGCAGGGTATGTGGTTTTTGAAAATTAATGAAAACTTATTTTATCTTTATGTGTTTAGTCATAGCATAATATCTTGCTTTCATGAGCCTAGACCATTGTTTTAAAGTGGTACTCCAGGGGCACCTGGCTGGCTCAGTCAGTGGAGCATGTGACTCTTGATCTCAGGGTTGTGTGTTCAAGCCCCTCATTGGGTGTAGAGATTACTTAGGAAATAAAAAATAAAGTGGTACTCCAGAAACATCCTTAAGCATATGAATGTTGTTTATATACATTTAAATATATTTTCTTGACTTTTGAGTAGTTAAAAGAGATGAAATTTGGGGGGAAAATACATGTTCTAAGAATTAAAATGAAAAGTATAAACTGAGTTGAGAATATTGAGAAGAAAAAGTTTTGGTGGGGATTGGGGGAAGCTGGCAAAGAAATAACATGTATAATAATAACAGCTAACACATACTGAGCACTGTGCAGCTTTTCAATACATTTAATGGATAAGAGTCTTGGATATGTGACACTGAGGTTTGGTTTTTGGCTAACTGGCAGAGCCCAGGTTTCAGCCAGGCTGCTTGACTCTTAAAGTTCCTGTGCTTAACTGCTGTGCTGTGTTGTGCTTTTCCCCCATGTGATACTGAATTATTTAACTGTGATGGAGTCTGCTATTTAATGATGTTTTGGAATCTGTACATAGATTTTCAAATCTGGATAGTGGGAAGTTTGAAGGAAATACCCTTGGTAAGAATGAAAATGGAGGAAAGTCTAATCAGCAATTACAGATAAAGTCATTTTAAGTACAAATCTGTAAGCTAGAAAACATTTGAATAAATCACAAGTACGGCTTTAAACTACGGTAGATTCTTAGTATACCTTCTTAAAATTGCTGGACTAGAAAGTAGGGATGTTTTTATTCGGGCTACAGTGGAAGTATACTCCAAAGAAGGCCTGAGTGTACTGTGAACTGTAAAATACAGCTCATCTGGCTTTTTTCTTCTTAAATTCTTCTTTCCCAAGTGACTTGAAACAGTATAGTCTTTGTGTATTAGATGAAGTATTCTAAGCAAAGTATTTCTGTGTGTACTTTTATTTCAGTTTGGAGCTTGAAATTAAATCACATCTTTATTCAACAGGCAAATCCAGATCCCAACACTTGTCTTGGAGTGTTTGGCCTCAGTTTATACACAACTGAGAGAGATCTTCGTGAAGTATTTTCTCGATACGGACCATTGAGTGGTGTCAATGTGGTTTATGATCAGCGAACTGGACGATCACGAGGATTTGCTTTTGTTTATTTTGAAAGAATAGATGACTCAAAGGAGGTAATTTTGTTTTTATAATTATTTTTCAATATGAAATTTTTCTGATGTGCATGATTATGTGCTAAAAGTTGACTAATAGTCTCCCAGTTCCATAAGCTGTTGTCTTTCACTCCCTAACCTGAGTTTGGTTCAAACTCTTCCTTTCAGGGGCACCTGGGTGGCTCAGTCAGTTAAGCATCTGCCTTTGGCTCAGTTCATGATCCCAGGGTCCTGGGATCGAGCCCCATGTCAGGTGCCTTGCTCAGTGGGGAGCCTGCTTCTCCCTCTCCCTGCCACTCCCCCTGCTTATGCATGCTCTTTCTCTCTCTGTCAAATAAATAAATCTTTTTTTTTTTAAGATTTTATTTATTTGAGAGAGAGATTGTGAAAGAGAGCAGGAACAGGGAGGAGAGGAAGAAGCAGGCTCTCCGCTGAGCAGGGAGCCTGACATGGGGCTCGATCCCAGGACCCTGAGATCATGACCTGAGCTGAAGGCAGATGCTTAACCGACTAAGCCACCCAGGTGCCCCTAAATAAAATTTAAAAAAACAACAGACAACTCTTCTTTCATTGTTACAATTGGAAATTGCCAGTTCACTTTCCAGCTAATATTTTCTGGTATAGGCATATCCTGATTGAAATCTGGCTTTGTAAAGTGAAGTATGTGTGTTTGAGTTAATGGAAAAAGTAATAAGTATATAAGTGTTCTCTTTTGACTTAATGTTACTCATATTCTAAGCAGATGATTAAACTAACTTTTTAGAAATTACATGATACTTTGCGGCTCCCACCTGACTCAGTTGGAGTATGTTCCTCTTGATCTCAGGGTTGTGAGTTCAAGCCCTATGTTGGGTGTAGAGATTACTTAAAAATAAAATTAAAAAGAAATTATGTTCTTTAAGCTATTAGTTTAATTTTGTGTGGAATTAGCTTCCCATGTATAGATACAGAGCTTTGTTTTTCTGTTTTCATATTCATCTGTCATTCTGTTCGATAATTAAAATATAATGCATAGAATTGGTTCTTTTTTTTTTTCTTTTCCGTAAGATTTTATTTGAGAGCATGGGGCATGGTAAGGGGAGAAAGAGGGAGAATCTCAAGCAGACTCTGTGCTGAGCCCCACGCGGGGCTCCATATCACAACCCTGAGATTGTGACCTGAGCCAAAATCAAGAGTCGGACACTTAACCGACCGAGCTACCCAAGAGGCCCTGAAGCTGTGCTACTCTAATGTATTAGATACTAGATTATAAAGGGAGCAGTAGGCTTGCTTTCTCTATACTAATAGTTCATAGTGATTGGGTTAGAAAATTCCATTTAAGGAATTTGAAGCCCATTGTTAAAGTTTTATCGAACCCTTTTTGGGGCACTGGGTGGCTCAGTTGGTTAAATATATGAGTCTTGATCTCAGCTCAGGTCTTGATCTCAGGGTCATGAATTCAAGCCCCATATTGGGTCTCCACTACTTTAAGAAGTAAGTGTTGTTGTTTTAATCAAACCTTAATAAATGGTGGGGTACTTGGCTGGCTCAGTTGGTAGAGCATGCAACTCTTGATTTCAGGGTCACGAGTTTGACCCCCACATTGGGTGCAGAGCTTACTTTAAAAAAAAACAAAAACAAATGGCAAATGTATCATTTTACATGTGATAGTAGTTGGACACAGGTCATTGCTATATGCATCAACAGCATTTGATTGCAACATTAAACAGTCATAATAAAAGTTAGATGCTATCTGGGGCACCTGAGTGGCTCAGTTGTTAAGCTTCTGCCTTCAGCTCAGGTCATGATCCTGCTCAGCAGGGGAGTCTGCTTCTCTCTCTCCCTCTGCTCGTGTGTTCTCTCTCTTGCTCACTCACTCTCTCTCAAATCTTTAAAAAAAAAAAAAAGAATGAATGAATAAATAAAGTTAGCATATCTTTCAAAATTGGTAGATGCTAGTGGCATTTAGTGGATGGAGGCCAGGAATGATGCCAAACCTCTTAAAATGCACAGGATAGCCACCCACAATATAGAACTAGCAGTCCAAAAATATCAATAGTATGGAGGTTGAAAAACCCCAGATAATTGTAACAAAATAACACTCCAGGTTGTAAGTCATTTATGTAGTAGACATTCTAATCAGCATTCTCTAATTTTATTTATTTATTTATTAATTAGAGAGAGAGAGTGCAGGCATGAGCTGGGGGTGGGCAGAGGGAGAGAGAAAATCTTAAGTAGGCTCCATGCCCAGGGCAGAGGCCATTGTGGGGCTTGATCTCACAACCCCGAGATCATGACCTGAGTCAAAATCAAGGGTTGGGATACTCAACCCACTGAACCACCCAGGCGCCCCTCTTATGTTTTGATCTGTCAGATATTATTATGACTCTTTTTGGGTTATACATTTGTGATTTGTTTATTTCTGTTCTCGAGATAAAGGTATAAATTTAAAAAAAATACTAAGATATCTGACCTTAAGTAAAAGTTGTGAAGTATAAAATAATACCACAATTAAGATTCTTTTTAATATGAAATTTGTCCTAGCTCTTGATTCCTCCCGTAACCACCCTGCCAGGGTTATTTCTTTTCTTTATAAAATAAAATGAAAGTGGCAGTTTTACTTTAGTTCCATGGAACTTGCAAATTTGGAAAAGTAGTTGGAATTACTATCCCATTTATTGGTATTAGTGCTGAAGGGCAGAGTGATAGGGAATGTGAGTGCAGATACAAAGACAGGAGCACTTGTTGGCAGGTTTAGAAGTTCTTTTATATTTGGAGTTCACTAGGTGGCGGTGTGTTACCTAAGGAATGGTTTTTGGCTAACCTAGACTTGTCAGCTGAATTGCAATTTCTGCTTGGAGTTGCCTAGACTGGAGTTGCCCAGCTTGTATGGTTCTTTCTCAGTATCTGCCCCCAGTCTTCCGGCAGATGTGTACATAAGAAAACTCAGTGCCATTGACATGCATATAGCAAGGATTCATATGTAAAATCCTGGCCCCTGTTGTTTGGGAAAGAAGTTTAGAGAATTTTAATTTAAATTTCAAATGGAAAAGTGTTAAATTTGTTGCAGTTTTAGTAGTTTCTCATTAGTGAATTATGCATGACTTTCTGTGCCTATTCTCCTTTAAAGGCTATGGAAAGGGCAAATGGAATGGAGCTGGATGGTAGAAGAATTCGAGTGGATTATTCTATTACCAAGAGAGCTCACACACCTACACCCGGAATCTACATGGGCAGACCAACTCAGTAAGATTTCAAGTTTTTTAAGCTAAACTAAGAGCCAGAAATTCACCAGAAATGTATGCAAACTTTGGATTAATCAAAAGATAAAATTTTTTTTCCTGTAATTAGATTTGAAAGTTATTTGTGTATATTCTTACATCTGTTTGAGGAGAGGGACAAATTAAAACCATCAAAGTCATTCCTGGCTCTTGGTGCTGTACAAATAGAAAAAGTATTAAATACTAGAAAAATAGTGTATGCTTTTAAGTATTCTCTTTCTTTTTTTTTTTTAAGATTTTATTTATTTATTTGACAGAGGCACAGCGAGAGAGGGAACACAAGCAGGAGGAGTGGGAGAGGGAGAAGCAGGGCTTCCCACCGACCTGGGAGCCCGATGCGGGGCTCGATCCCAGGACTCTGGGATCATGACCTGAGCTGAAGGCAGACGCTTAACGACTGAGCCACCCAGGCACCCTTTAAGTAGTCTCTTTCTATTCTTATGTGACTTCGGAAGCCTTGTGGATAGGGAAGAATTTTACTGATACTGGTGTGTATTTTTTTTTTAAGCCAGTTTTCACATCATACATAAATAGAGGCTTTTATAAATGTTTTTTGGTTTTTTTCTAAATATAAAACAACTGAAGAAAGTATTTCTTAAAAGTGAAAGAAGGAGGGGCACCTGGGTGGCTCAGTCATTGGGGGTGTCTGCCTTCGGCTCAGGTCATGATCCCAGGGTCCTGGGATCGTGCCCCACATCAGGCTCCCTGCTCGTTGGGGAGCCTGCTCCTCCCTCTCCCACTCCCCCTGCTTGTGTTCCCTCTCAAGCTGTGTCTCTCTGTCAAATAAATAAAATCTTAAAAAAAAAAAGTGAAAGGAATATAGGCTTTCAATTACTTTGAAACCTTACTGGGGAAAATGTAGGGTTTGGTAAGGAAAGCCTACAAAAAAAACTAAAGTGAAAATAGTGTCCCTGTGATTAGGAGTTGGGAAAAACTACAGGAGAAAGTGCTCAGAGTTTAAATTTGCTGCCAAAGATTTAAAAGCCAGACCTTGAAATTATTTTAGGGCCGGACCTCAGCGTAAGGTAGTTAATTCTTTCTGCTGTTCAGGGTCAGTTAACCTTTTTAAATTCTTGATGTTTATTAATTGCTTTTGAATTAGTCATAAGGACTTACATCTTAGCATTTTGGTGCTGTTTCCCAGCACAGTACTTCATTTCAGCTTGTTGAAAAGAAAAGGTCCTGCTGATTTGGGTTGTGTATTAATAAAAGAACAGTTTATAGTTTGAGAGTTTTGTGAAACCATTCATGGTTATTTATGTAACAGATAGGAAACGAAAGCAAAATAATACCATGGGAGTCAGCAAAGTGAGACACGTGGCAGTCACTGACATGAAAAGGGTTGTTCTTTCTCCCTTATCTTCCCACCTCCCTCCATTTTAGTTAAGTACCAGTTGGTATTAAATGATACTGGAAAATCTCATTCATGTAAAATTTTTACATTCTTCTATAGTAGTGGTGGTGGTGGAGGTGGAGGCGGTGGTGGAGGTGGAGGCGGTGGCCGGCGTCGAGATTCTTACTATGATAGAGGATATGATCGTGGGTATGACAGATATGAAGACTATGATTACCGGTACAGGTAATGTTTTAATTGGTAATTTCTGTTCTAAAATAAATGATGGTTGTATTATTTGGCACTTCTAATTTATGTTTCATATGTATTAATAAAAATATTTAAAATAGATGATGGTTTCTTGAGAAAGTAGAGGGAGATGATTTTCTCAAGATTGAGAACAAAGGTTATCTGTATTTACCAGTATTTTGTCTTGTTGTACCCATATGCTTGCTGTTCTAGTATTAATTGGCACACAGAGAATGTAATAGTATTTGAATGATGGAGAATTTTTATTTTCACTTGCTTCAATGGAGTGATTATGTGGTATGCTAAGTAATCTTTTATTTCCTACAGAAGAAGATCACCTTCTCCTTACTATAGTCGGTACAGGTCACGATCGAGATCTCGTTCCTACAGCCCAAGTATGTATACTTTTACTTTTGTAGCATTAAGAACCTTTCCTAATCAGTGGTTTATTTTAGAAAATTAGGGTATATGGAGATTGTTGATAGTTGGACAAATAATAGGCAAGTCAAACTATAATTGTCATTTTTGACTTTTGTTTTTTTTGCTCTCTTTCAGGACGCTATTGATATGCAGAATGGTTGCAGATGAGGACATCTTTTTCTGTGTGTGTGTGTGTGTGTGTGTGTGTGTGTTTGTTTGTATTGATTTGGGGTTTGTTTGTTTTGGTTTGGTTTTGGTTTAATTCTGGATTTCCCCAAGCTTCTAATCCTTCTTACTTCTTAAAAAGAACCCTTAAAAAAATCTTTGGTTTATTCACCATCTACACTATGTCAGTTGTATTGCTGTTTCCACCCCTTTTAGTATGCTCTTAAAGATGTAATTGTTGTCATTTGAGTAGTTAAACATCTTAAGTAAAAAAAGGAACTCCCAGTGTTAGGCTTTGTAAATGATTTTTTTCTTTTTCTTTTTCTTTTTTTTTCTTTTTTTTTTTTTTTTTTTTTTTTTTTTTTTTTTTCGCTTTGTTTTTACAGAAAATTAACTCCTGGCTAATCAGATGAGGAAAGAAATGATCTTTTTAAAGCTTTTGTGTTAGATATTAGATATTGTACTAGAGACCTCCATTTACAACAAACTCCTTTTTAAACTTTCTTTTGGGGAAGGTAGTAACACATAAAGTAGTTCAGTCATGTCAAGTTTGTCTGGGGTGGCATGGAGCAGTCAAATAGTTGGGTGTAGAAAGTTTGAAGCTATAGAAGAAAACACTTGGTCATTTCTTTTGAAGAACGAAATTTTTGAACCCTAAAAATTACGTCATTTTTTTTTTAGAGATGAAAAGCTTGTGGACTCCTACAAAATATGTTGTATTTAAAATACATCTGTTAAAACTTAAAGTGTGATTTTTGTGTTGAATTTATTGAAATTTATTCCCTTAATCAGTGAAGGACAACTCTTATTTATTACTTAGAGCAATTATATACTTTTTCCTGTTAGAAATTTTGCTATTGGGACAATGGTTAAGCAGGCTATTATTGTATAGAATAGAGTCCTTAGAAGATACGTGTGAGGAAAAGTAGTCTCAAATAAAAGTTAATTTCTTTGAAAATGGGATTGTCTCTTTATTATGGTAGAATGGGAAAAAATATATAACTGGATTGATTTGGGAACCTGTCCTTTTCCTGACATTTTTACTTATACCCGATAGTATAATTGTTTCTCTTCCTCTTTAAAAATCCTTGTTTTGAGGCACCTGGGTGGCTCATTTGGTTGTGTACCTGCCTTTGGCTTGGGCCCTGATCCCAGGGTGCTGGGTTTGAGCCCTGCCCACATCGGGCTCCCTGATCATTGGGGAATCTTCTCCCTCTCCCTCTGCCCCTCTCCCCTGCTCATGTTCTCTCTCTCTCTCTCTCTCAAATAAAATCTTAAAAAAAATAATCGTTTTTCTTCCCTTTTCTTTTTTCTTTTCTTTTTTTAAGATTTATTCGAGAGAGCATAAGCAGGGGGAGTGGAGTGGCAGGGAGAGGGAGAAGCAGGCTCCCCGCTGAGCAGAGAGCCCGGCATAGGGCTTGATCCCAGAGTCCTGGGATCATGACCTGAGCTGAAGGCAGATGCTCAACCACTGAGCCACCCAGGCGCCCCTTTCCCTCCCTTTTTCTGTCATCCTAGTTTTCGATATTGGGAATGTTTGGTACCAAGCACTGTGGTGAAGGAAAGATAAATAATAGAGTTTATGTCTTTAAGGAGCCCACACTCTAATAGAAAACATACTCAGACAACTCTAATATAAGGTGAGGGTGCTTTAGTAAAGAGGTGGATTATCTTTCGGGTGACTTCTATAAAAAGGTGTAGGAGTGAGAGCTCCTTCGTTTTCTTCCTCAAAGCAATGGGGATAGAATTAAATTATTATAATCTATGTAATAATACACTGATGGGATCTATGAGATTGAAGTGCCTCAGGTATCTTTGTTTTTTACTTATTTTTAAAGATACTTATTTAGAGAGAGGGGTGAGGGGCAAAGGGAGAGAGAGGAGAGAATCTCAAGCAGACTCCTCACTGATGGCTCAGTTTCACGAGCCTAAGATCATGACCTGAGCCAAAATCAAGAGTCAGATGCTTAACTGACTGAGCTACCCAGGCACCCCATATTTTTTATTTTTATTTTTTAAAGATTTTATTTCTGGGGCACCTGGGTGGCTCAGCCAGTTAAGCGTCTCCCTTTGGCTCAGGTCATGATCCCAGGGTCTTGGGATCAGGGCTTGGGCTCCGTGCTCAGTGGGGAACCTGCCTCTCCCTCTGTCACTCCTCCTGCTTGTGTGCTCTCTCTGTCAAATAAAATCTTTAAAAAAGTAAAAACCTGGGGTGCCTGGGTGGCTCAGGTCCTGATCCCAGGGTCCTGGAGTCAAGCCCTACATTGGGCTCCCTGCTCGGCAGGAAGCCTCCTTCTCCCTCTCCCACTCCCCCTGCTTGTGTTCCTGCTCCTGCCGTCTGCTATCTCTGTGTCAAATAAAATCTTAAAAATTAAAAAATAAAAACCTTAATGATATATCAGTAAATAGAAAAATACAGAACAAATTAAGATAATCTGAATCATCCTAATTAAAAAGGGAGAGAGCCTTGTAGATACCTGGAGGAACATGTTAAATACAGAGAACAGCAAATACAATGGCCTTAAGGCACTAGAATACCTGAAATGTTGGCAAAGACAGGAGGCCTGAGAGGACAAAGATCAGATCTAAGGGCTGGATGTTATGGGGAGAGGAGGTTGGGAGGTATGGCTTCAACAGTTAAGAGGTAAATTCCTTTATAGAAAGGGGGAACTGCGGGGCACCTGGGTGGCTCAGTCGCTACAGGTCATGGTCCCAGCGTCCTGGGATCGAGCCCCGCATCGGGCTCCCTGCTCCGCAGGAAGCCTGCTTCTCCCTCTCCCACTCCCCCTGCTTGTGTTCTGTCAAATAGATAAATAGAAAGGTAAGATGAGAAATATACCACCGATGGGAGTCATGAATATAGAAAACAAGAAAACTTAACTTCCAAGAAAGCAAATACATGCAAGTGGAATAACAAGCTTTGCCACTTTAACCTCCCACCAACAGTATATGAGAGGGAGGTTTTTTCTTGAAACAAAAAGTGTTAAGATCCTGGGGCGCCTGGGTGGCCTTCGGCTCAGGTCATGATCCCAGGGTCCTGGGATCGAGCCCCGCCTCGGGCTCCCTGCTCCGCGGCAGGCGTACTTCTCCCTCTCCCACTCCCACTGCTTGTGTCCCCTCTCTTGCTGTCTCTCTCTGTTAAATAAAAATCTTTAAAAAAAAAAACAAACAAACATTAAGATCTTACTAAAGGAAAATAAGCTATACTCTTAATTATTTACAGCACAAAATTGTTTCAAAATGAAATTAAGGTAACACTTTACAAAAACAATATGACAAGATAAAAAGAAGAATGGAGCAACTCCTGGCTGACTCAGTTGGTAGAGTATGTGACTCCGTATCTCAGGGCTGTGAGTTCGACCCCAATGTTGGGTGTAGAGTTTACTTTAAAAAAGCTAAGGGAGGGCGCCTGGGTGGCTCAGATGGTTAAGCACCTGCCTTCGGCTCAGGTCATGATCCCAGGGTCCTGGGATCGAGTCCCACATCGGGCTCCCTGCTCCTTGGGAGCCTGCTTCTCCCTCTGCTTCTCTCTCTCTCTCCCCCTCTGTCTCATGAATAAATAAATAATTTTAAAAAAAAAGCTAAGGGAACTAAGGGGCAAAGTAAGACTACAAGATGTTAGTACAAAGATGGGTACTATGGAATCCTGTATACTTGAAATGATTAGTTAATTCTTGTGTATATGTGTAATTGATCCCCAAAAGGCTGTCCACTTAAGAAACCCATGAATTGTAGTCATAAAAAGAAAGCTGTTGCTTAACGCAGTCTTGAGTCCCCATGATATACTGTGATGTGCAATCTAACTTAATCCAGGGATAAATTTTCATGGCATAATTTTCAGACATACAAATATTGTTTCTTTGTAAATCTGAGAGGATACTCCCTTGATGCAGGAAGTGTAACTGGCATAATTTTACCGAGTTGGGGATAAAATTTACAGATTTGGGGAAAATGAGACTATCAAAAAGAGGACCTAGGGGCACCTGACTGGCTCAGTTGGTGGACCATGCGACTCTTGATCTCGGGATTGTCAGTTCAAGCCCCATGTTAGGCGTGGAGCCTATTTTTTAAAAAATTGTATAAAAAGAGGGCCCAAGTAGACTATCATACTATCCCCTCAGAGGTGAGTATGGGTACAGGTGTCAAATTATGTAAAACAGTGGGGCCCTGTTCACTTTTTTTTAGATTTTATTTGCCAGAAGGAGGGCAGGAACGGGGTGGGAAAGAAACAGGCTCTCCGCTGAGCCAGGAACCCACCACAGGGCTCCATCCTAGGATCCTGAGATCATGACCTGAGCTGAAGGCAGACGCTTAACTGACAGCCACCCAGGTGCCCCTCTGATCACTCTAAATTTGAGAAAGTTCAAAGTGTGTATAGAGGAGAGAATGGGGTGTTTGTTGGAGATGGATGGTAGTGAAGTTTGCAGAATTTGAATGCACTTAATGCCACAGATGTGTGCACTCTTACAAATAGTAAATATGTGTAGTTTACTACACACAAAGACATAGTAAGAAATCAAACTCCCTAAAATAGAGATCCATACAGGGGCACCTGGGTGTCTCCGTCGTTAAGCGTCTGCCTTCGGCTCGGGTAATGATCCTGGGGTCCTGGGATTGAGCCCCGCATCGGGCTCCCTGCTCAGTGGGGAGCCTGCTTCTCCCTCTGCCTGCCGCTCCCCCTGCTTGTGCTCTCTCTCTCTCTCTCTCTCTCAGTTAAATAAATAAATAAATCTTTAAAAAAATTGGAAAAGAGTATTTATAAAAAGTTATTTTCAGGGTGCCTGGGTGGCTCAGTCGGTTAAGCATCTGCTTTTGGCTCAGGTCATGATCCCAAGGGTCCTGGGATCAAGCCCCGCATCGCGCTCTCTGCTCAGCGGAGAGCCTGCTTCTCCCTCTGCCTGCTCCTCTATCTACTTGTGACCTCTCTCTCTCTCTGTCAAATAAATAAATAAAATATTTAAAAAAAAGTTATTTTCACTAATCTCTGTAAAGGTACAAACGTAATTAAACTTTTAAT